TTTTGTGTTCTGTTCAGAAGCAGTGATGAACTTCACAACGTCTAGGTTGCTGTTTCTGTTAGAATCATCAGGGATACTGCTTTGCAAATCCAGTGTACTATATTCTAACCACTGTTTGTGCTGTGATGCTAATATTTCCTCTGCTTCGGAGCCGTGCTGTACTTGAGTGCCAGCTAAACATTGATCGTCTCATGTTCTGGTCATGCTGGTAGGTGAGCCTACTGACGAGGGCATTAGTCCTAAATAGTCCTTTAATATTTGGTGTACAGTTATGATATTCTGATAAAAACATTGATTAAAACAGCAGTTTAAACTTTGATTTTTATCAAGTTTTATTTTTCAATAACTATCTCGATATTCTGTTTTCTTTTACCAATTAATTTCCAGTCCACCTGAACGAAAGTGCAGTGCTTGGTAGAGCTTAGGCCCGTGTTTTAAGGACTATGCTTTTCATGGCGGTGTTTTTATCTGGTTGTACTGAGACAAAATAGGGCAGTTAGCTGGGAAAGCTATTCCGTAAGTGTCTCCAGAAGAAGAAAACCTTGAGCATCAGAGCTCTGTGTGTCAGACTACTGTAGCCTAAGTCAAGATCGCTAAAGCTATAGCCTAAGCATGCAATAACACTCGGGTACTTGTCTGTCTAACCGGTGCCGCTGAGAGCTTTTGTTAGTATCAGAAATTAAATTCTTAGACTAAAAAATATCTTTTAGCAGTGATTTCTTCCTAAACTTCAAAAGGAACACTGAGATAAAAACACAGGTAAGCTAAGCTTGGGTTCTCATTTCTTCCCAGTTTCTTGCTCTTACGCCGTCACTCTGTGCTGTATGAAGACTTCTTTTACGTTTGCCTGCTCGTGATGTTGGTTTTGTTCGAAAAGGCAGACCGAAGGAAATGGCACTTCTGAGTTGCAGGTTTTTCTACTCTTTATCCAACTTCAGTACAAGTACGAGGAGAAAATGTCAAATTAATCTTGAATAGTACTCTAGTGGTCCAACTGCAGCGATTCCTTAAATTGCCTTAGTCCCCAAAGCCTGATGCTTTTCAGCAGCAGGTTGATGCCCAGGCCTGTTCAGGTCTAAAAGGCTTATATGGGAGACTGACTCCATCCAAAGCTTAGAACAATAAAGGTACAGTGAAAAGGTACAAACACTCTTCTTCCAACTCAGCATAGTTATTTTTACCTCAATCTTAATTAAAAAGGAAAAAAAAAGTGTCGTGTTATACGACAGCGCTATGCTTTCCGTCCTAATGAATTCAAAGAACTTATTTCTGAGGAGGCAGTTATTCAGGAGCTTTATTGCTGAAAAGCCATGTTGTTTGTTCCCAAAATACAGTGGCGTTAAAATAGGCAACACCTAATGTTGTTAGAATTCTGAGTCTCTGAGGGTCTCATAAATTTCACTTTCATCAATACCTTTGTGTCACCCAGCTTTTAAACTGGGCAGTGTGAAAATTTCCATGAGGTTACTGTAGGATTTTGTTTCTGTACTGCTCTGCATGTATGTCAGAAAATGATACTGCTTCCATCTCTTAAATCATTTTGCAACTTTGTCCTGCGCTAGCTTATTTTTTAATAGTCGCCCATGCCTAGCAGTGCGTTTTGGATGCGTGTACACGCGTTCTTAGAGCATGTAGGTTAAAGGTGGGGATGTATGTGTCACACAGTGGTATTTTTCAAGTATAAAAAGAACAGAAAACTGGATACTCTTCTAAAATGGTGACAAATCAAGAAAAGCAGTATGAATAGGTAATTGAAAATTTTAGTTTCATGATCTTTCACACATGTGCATAGAGTGTTTTCCTTAATCAGAGAAAAGTAGATACTGGCATGCTGAAGTGTTCAAGCTTGTATAAATGATTTGAAGAGAAGTAAATGATGTTGAATATATATCTCCATTTACAATATATATCTATATATTATGTATACAATATATATATCTCATCAATGTACGACAGGTACTTCCAGTTTCATTTCAGAACAGCAAGCTTTTGAATTGCATTTTAAAACAAAGCCGCTGAAGGCAAAGTTCTCTCCTCCACGCCCTGCATCAGCTGCTGCAGGTAGCTGAGACAAGGTGTTCTCTAGTGCGCTGCGTACTTGGATCGTCATTTCCTTCTGCCTGTACCTCTGTGAGCCATCTCAGCATCAACTTCCCCTTTGCCCAGCCACCTTCATCAAATCCGCTTTTCACTCGCTTTGTTCTATTTAATGAAGATCAGTCCCATCGGTCTGTAAACCGAAGAAAAAGCGCGAGGAGAACTCGCTCCCTTTCAAAGCCGTGAGCAGTGCCTTTGAGAAGGGGGTGATGATGAATAGCGGTAATTCCTGCAACAGCCTCTGGAAAGGTCACGGTTGGCTACAGTGTGCTTTGTGTCATAAATCCTTTTGAAGGAAGCCCTGATGCCACAGAAAAGGCTGCATGTACAAAGGTGTCGGCACCGTTGAGGTCAGTTAAATCTGATAGGAAATCCTAAGTCAAAAGGGATATTCCTCTTGCCAAAGTATCTCTGTAAGGACTGGGAACTTGCAAACTAAGTTGAACGCTTCCAAATGGCTGTCCCCTAAAAACATCTTGTGCTAAAGGAAATCAATTTGTGTGTGGCTTCTGTAGGACACCAGAAAGAAACGTCTGCTTCAGCTTTCAAAATCACTGTCATTTATTTCAAGGTTTGTAAACCTTTTAAAAAAAACAACAACAAAAAAACCCCAACCAAAACACTGCAATTGTTGGTCTTTTTGTATTGAATTAGAGGCAGCAATTAAAAGGAGATTTGGAACAACTGTGTTCGATTTGAGTTAATTAGAGATGCCAAACTTCCAGATAATTGTCACATCTGTGGAACAGAAGGGGTTTATTAAGGGGGCAGAGTCACCATTCATGGCCCATCTTGCTAATAATATACCAAGTCCTAATGTGGCTAGTTCTTATTCTCCCGTTGTTTGCTGTGTTAAGTTACAATGATCTGTTAACATCAAATAGAGACGAGTGTGTGTGTGTGCGCGTGTGTGTATTTGTCTTGTCTGAAGCGCTTAAATGCTGTTATGTGTTTGTGGCAATGTTTGTTAAGTGGTTCATCAAAGTTTACCTTAATCAGTGGTAGTTCTTTAGACGGTTGCTTTTTTCCAAATTTTTCAAGCAGCCTAATAAAAATTCCACAAAAGGTCTAGTTTGCCTTGGAATATTGCATCCAGGGAAGCTCAGTGACCCTAGTTTCCATTTGACAGAACTGAAGAACTGCTTAAGAAACCTAAACTGGATGTACAAATTAAGCATGTTCTCCATACTGTATATATACACACACATATGGGTACTTAAATAGAGCATGTATATGGGTGTGCTTGCTCTCGCCTCTCCTATATTCAGCAGGCCCGAGAGCATGCACCGAGATGGACGCTGCCCCCCTGCCCTTAGGATTAGCTAATCCTAAACACAAGCGCCATTTTAATTTGGGGAAGTCACAAAGATGGTGAAGGAAGCCAGTTCCTCACAGGAACCTCCTATGAGTGGGCAAAGAGTCTCTCAAACACATAGCAAGGTCCTTCCGTGAAGTATTTTTCAGAATGAAGTAGGGAATAGATACACACCTCCCAAAAAGAACTGTTCCTCATAGGCACTGAAGGGAAAAAAGATTTCTAGAGGGTAGTTTCAGCTGCCCATACGGTTCTGTGATGCTTGTAAACTGGGGCCGAGGACATGGATTTGCTTCGTAAAAGTTGACACGTCATTATAATAAAGGGGTTACAAATATTTTGCAGTTTCTTTAACAGCTAATGATTGGAAAGATTTTTTCTGTCTTTTTTTGGTCATTCCTTGGTTTCTCCTTTAGCAAGGCAGGACAGTCAACTGCTCTGAAGCAAACATGACTCAAATTCTTTCTAGAGATCATTTGTTACCTGATGTTCTGAATGGAGACCCATTGCCCTAGGCTGGAACAGGTTGTTCCTTTGGGTAAAGCCCTTTTGGCAGTCTCTGACAATGTGGTTCCCATGTATGTATGCCCACACCTGTGTGACTGATGAGCAAGCGGAAAATCCAAACACTTCAGGAAGATTTTTTTTTTAAAGGACAAGTACAGTCAAATGTACCTAATTAAATTTTTATTTGTGAGTCACTTCCTGTTACCTTGGACTGTTTCTCCTGCGCTCTTTTCAGCCACTATCCATTCTTTCCTACCTAGGAAATGTAAGTGGATCCATCCCTTCAGCATGCACGTTAACGATGTCCTAGGCAACTTTCACATTTGAGTTTGGCGTTATCGCAGCTCCCGGAAGAGCACTTTCAGTCACAAAATGGTTCCAGCTCTTCCCAGCAGTCCCATTCATCGCATTTGTTGCTTGTAATCAAGTTCACTTACTCACATCTGAGTTGCCAGTACTCTGTAAAGCCAAGGCTTCGCCCCCAGAGATTTAATACACTAGGGCATTAAAAAAACATCTTCCTCGTTGAAGTACCGCTTCCTGCAGGTACGGAAGCGTTACAGAACTCCCCGCGCAGCTTCAGCCTTTCATGGCACTGGTGATTTCTCGCTTGGAAAGGTAATCACCCTTGTCTCCCTCTTCTCTGGATCTTGGACTGCTGGCACAGTTCAGCTACTAGCTTTTTTCCCCCTAAGTAAACGTACTGGTTAGTGCCTGTTTCAGCAGCTTAAAAAACAGTGCTTATTTTTAGTCTTTCAGACTGGACGTGGATTCTCACTGTCAAAAAGAAAATGCTGAGTCACTTTATTCCGTTTTTGCTCTTACTTGGCAGCTATCAATTGTTACTGATTGTTAAAGCAAATTTAGCACGTTACAGAAATTACTGTTAACTGGTTATTTCTTGAGTGACAGTATAAGTAGTAGAAAACTTAGGTCCTCTTTCCAAGGCTTACCTAGTGTGCTGAATGCTCTGGGGTAGAACATTTGTGGTTCCTTTGAGAAGATCCTCTACCTGCATGTGAAGAGCCTGTATCTTATTCCATGTAACAAATAACAATAACAATCGTATTACAACAGCTTACGTTGAACAGGTACTTTTATTTACAAGAGCATATGTGACAGTTCTAAAATAAAAAGTGGAACAAGTCTACTCTCAGTCTTCAGCCTGGTTTAGAGAAAGTCTCCAGTATGACTGATTTCTTATTTGGCGTTCTAATTTGGAGATCGAGTTCGTGGCAAAGGTATAATAATCCAGTAATTCGGTACCACTCTCAGCGTCAAAAACCACATAGTATAGCTTAGTCTCTTCGTACATAGAAGATATTATATCCAAGTTCAATCATACCCCCAATAAGCAAGGCCCACAAAGGGATAAATACGTAGGCTAGTTTCATCGTAGTAAATCGTTGCAATTTAGCACAGAGGGCAAGGCAGAAGGCTAACTTAAATAGCATTGCAATGAGATACCAGGCTTTTTTCTTGATGTTTTGGGAGCCGTTGCGAGGATCGAAGCCAGACTTGCAACGTCCAGCCATTTTTACAATTAACATAACTAGAAGAATAGTATCAAATATCCAGACTGGAATAAAAATGAGGAACCAGTTCCATGGTGCTTTCTCATCCAACTTTAGCACCAGCATGATCAGGAAGAGTAACGTGAAAAGCCATGTCAGTAGCACTCTTTGCGCCAGGGACATTCTCATTTAAACAGCTTTGAGAGGAAGTCTTCCGCTGTCAGCAACAACCTAACAAAACAGAAGAGAGGGGGAAGGCATCAAAAGATGTCACTGCACAACCATTAGGCATATTCCTTAAAGGAGACCAATTTCTTGTTCTTGCTTTCCCACCCCTTCTAACCTCACCTACATTCCGTTTCCTAGCATTTCTTTTGTAAGTACTGTCCTCGGTGAAGCACTGTTTTGGTCCTGTCCACCATTCAGTTTAAGCGCTGTAAGTCAGCTGTGCAAACTGCCTTAATCTAAATTTGTTCTGTGAAACAAATCATGCTTTAATCCTAGACTAGCTGTCAGACTCATTTACTACGCTAAGAATATGTTTAGATCCATTTTCCTGCAGTACTGAGGCACTCACAGTTAACACCTCTCTCTCTGTAACAGAATACTCATAGTAAAATGTAAACCAGCTAACAAGCACAAGTAACAAACCATCCGAAAGATCCTGTAGTCTGCAGAGCTGCAGCTGAAATTGAGCCAGTAAGCACTACTACCGCTTTCTGTCAAGCAGCAATCTTAAAACTACTAAAAGCTATGGATGATGTTTGCGTTCTGGCGCGGGCACTGGCTGACAGGAACGCTGTTTAGGTTTATTGGCTTGGTAGTATATTCAAATTTCTATGTAGTCGTGACGAAAGAAAAACAAGGCCAAGTGCATCTGCCCCTACAGTCGTAAAAGTTAGTTTTTATATTCCTAACGGAAAGGCTTTTGCCACTGTGTCTGCCAGAAGCCTTTCACCGCTAGTGTAAAAAGCAGGGGTGAGAACAACTATGATCTTTAAGATTTCATGCTACAAAGACGGATAATTAATACATACCAGTGAAACAGTGCTGAGATAGGTTTCTTACTTATTTAAAAAAATGGAGATTTTTAGAAGTTTGATAATTCCCTTTAGAACACTGATATTCTTCCACTTGAAATAAAGAACTGAGCTTTGATTTGTTCCAGATTACAAAAATATTTAAATTACTGAAAGTGAGATGATGTGTTCTGAAGCATCTAATCCTCGCCACCAGATGCCGCGAGTGAAGGGCAAGACCTGCTTCCCCTGTGTCTCCTCAGTGCCCCTGGCCGCAAGCTGCTGCTTCCTCTGTCTTATTACTGATGCTCACAAGATCACCCGATTAAGCCTGTTAAACTCACTGAACGAGCAGAAATCTGTTAGCACCTTTTTCTTTTTCACTGGGTTTGTTTTTTGCCAGATTAGCAAGTCGAACCAACTTTGTGTTCAGATAAGCATCGGAACCAGGAGGAGAGAAGTAAAAGCTGCTGGCTTAACTGGTGAGGAGATGACCTGCTACATTAGAGCCAGGGGATAACAGTTTTGTACACCTCTAAAATTGTCCTACAGTTTAAATCTGTGTATTCTGACGATACACAGTTCAACAGACCTACTTTTTTGTTCAGTCTGGGTTTGAAGTGTCAATGGTTTGGATTTAGTGGATAGTAGTGGGATTTCTCTTAAGGAAAAGATCCAGTTTAGCCTAAAATAATCTAAATTGGAGTTACTGTCAGAGCATCCCCTCCCTTGTGTTAGGGCTGACACTCGTGACCCAGAGCAGGCCAGTTCCTTGAGCTGAACTAGCACCAAAAAAAAAAAAAAAATTTAAAATAGGATTTTTGTAGTTTGCTTTTTGCTGTCTCAGTTCTGCTCAGCTCACCAAAGGGTCTGGTGAAAGCCAGCTACTGGCAGGGTGGAACCGAGACCCCCTCCTTGGGAGGGGGTGAAGCTTAGCAGTGACACTAACATAAGACTTAATCGCTAAGCAGAAGAAAAACTGGAGGAGATTTAGATAGCATTGCTCTTTTCTTGTTATAGAACCATACCTAAACCAGCTGGCAGGTGCAGAGGATTACAGAACAATTACTGTGACCTGCCTGAAGCATTTCCAGTATTTTGAAAACATTCCCAATATTCTCAAGTGCAAGTCTGCAGCTAAAGTGGAGAGAGTAGTGATCTGAAACGAAGTTTCAACATTCCTTTCATGAGAACGTTTTTGAAAACCAGTTCTAGAAATCAATGCTACAAATATTACAAGAAGGAGAAGAATCTCTTTTTAGCAAACTGGAGAAAGCAGAAGCCAAAGAAACAGACTGGAAACTTGGGCCTGAAAGGAAAAAAGGAATTCAACACTGTTAGAACTATCAGGTTATCAGATACTTGAAGAAAGTGCTATCAACTGTCTCTGGAGGAAACAGAAAGCTACTGAAGGTGTATTAGACGGGGCTACTCAGTTTGAAGGTTGCTCACTTGATGAAAAGATTTTCAGTTTTTCTAAGTGTTCAGAACCACTTTGTAACAATTTTAAAAAGCACAGGCAGAGAACTCGGCATGGGATGACACTATGCTGCCTTTCTTTGACCTAATTAAGAGATGTAACTGCAAGACCAGGCAGGACTGCAAGGCTCCATTCAGTTTTAGAGGCTTTTTTGGATGAAAACTCAAGAAAATCCGAGTGTACTTTTGAGATCTTATGGTCCTATAGTCCAAGTAAAGGAAGCTACCAAATTTTAAAGGCTGACAGCTGGGGATACAGCTGACATAACGATGAAGGGTTTGATTACATGGAGCACTTGACCATCTCTCATTAGGAAAGAACGGAGATTATCGGCAGATTCTCAGCTAGAGGCCAGCTATCACAACAAGATGGTTAACACTGGAAAAAGGGTGCAGGTATGGTACAAGTCTGAACTAGCTCTTCTGTCAAAACACTGAAGGAATGTCAAAGGCAGAGTGTAAAAATAAAAAAAGCTCTCAACTCCTTACAGGACTCATAATTAGCAGGAAGTGAAAATTTTCAGTAATGAGAAACACTGTCTAAATAGCATTACTGACCTCGGTGGGATGAGCTGCATAAATAGACTATTACAATAGCTAATTGTATCCTGTTCAGAAGGAAAAAAATAAAGAGGAGGGAAACTTAGGCAGCTCAGTATTAATGATAATATAGATCTGTAAGTTTAAATTTAAACCTTGAACGTTGCCCAAAGTTCAGAAAGTGATATTATGCTGAAACCAAATTAAATAGAACTCTAGCTCAATTAAATGACATTTTAAAGCCGATTCAGTAGGTACAAGTAATTTAACACCTAGGAAGAAATATTCCAGTAGCCCCATTTTAAAACCACATTTAAAGTAGTCTGATATGAATACAGGTTAGGTACGCACAAGGTCTTCTTGCAATTGGTGCATTCTTCGTTCAGGTAGTCTATGTAGATTTAAAAGTGTAAATATAAAGTCAAACTACATCCCCTTAACTGGAGTGCTTGTTTTAGTGTTCTTCAGCAAAACAGAGACTCCCGAGTGCTGAATTTGACTGAAAAAAAAATAAATTTAGAAACTGTTCAGAGGAAGAGAACGAGGAAGCCGGCAAACCGGCCAAGGGTGCCGGGCTAAGCAAAGCCTGCGACAGCAGTTCCACGGCCTCTCGCGGTCCTCTGAAGAAGACTGTTTCCAGCACAGGCCCGATCCAGTCTCGGCGGGCACGGTCGCTATCCTC